TTCTAGTCCCACCTTAGGCATAAGAGCCATCTGGGTGACTGGGCCGATCACCAGGTGACAGTGAGTTCTAGTTCCACCTTATACATAAAAGCCATCTGGGTGACTGGGCTGATCCCCAGGTGACAGTGAATTCTAGTCCTGCCTTAGACATAAAAGCCATCTGGGTGACTGGGCCAATCACCAGGAAACACTATGAAAACCAGGAGACAGTGAGTTCTAGTCCCACTTTAGACATAAAAGCCATCTGGGTGACTAGGCCGATCACCAGGTGACAGTGAGTTCTAGTCCCACCTTAGACATAAAAGCCATCTGGGTGACGGGGCCAATCACCAGGTGACAGTGAGTTCTAGTCCCACCTTAGACATAAAAGCCATCTGGGTGACGGGGCCAATCACTAGGTGACAGTGAGTTCTAGTCCTGCCTTAGACATAAAAGCCATCTGGGTGACGGGGCCAATCACCAGGTAACAGTGAGTTCTAGTCCCACCTTAGACATAAAAGCCATCTGGGTGACTGGGCCGATCACCAGGTGACAGTGAGTTCTAGTCCCACCTTAGACATAAAAGCCATCTGGGTGACTGGGCCAATCACCGGGTGACAGTGAGTTCTAGCCCTGGCTTAGGCACAAAAGCCAACTGGATAACTTTGGGTCAATCACCAAGAGACAGTGAGTTCTAGTCCCACCTTTGGCATGAAAGCCATCTGGGTGACTGGGCTGATCATCCGGCGACAGTGAGTTCAAGTCCTGCTTTAGGCACGAAAGCCGGCTGGGTGACTTTATGCCAGTCATTCTCTCAACCATCTCCACCGCCAAGCAAACCGCCCAATCTAGTCTACAAAATCAACGCAAAATCTGCTGATTTCAAAGAAAACTTTAATATCCGCCTTTCGCTGAAAACGAAAGCCTTGTGGGTGAAAGCCGCTCAGAAACTTGAGGCAGGCGGAGGGCAATAACCAAGAATATCTCCCAACATCAAACCTTTCCGCTCTATGATTTGACCCAGGAGGGCAAAGAAACGGCCTTGAAATGGCCCCAGTTGGATTTTATTCCCCCCCCCCCAAATAGTTTGGGGCAGATGGAACAAGGAATAAAATCCATGAAAACGAGCGTCTGTTTTGAAATTGTTGCTCCTTCTGTGGAACTCCCTCCCACATTACAGGACAGAGAAGAGAAGGGGGTGCTGTGTTTTTTTTAATTCACACCCCCTCAAAAAACAACAACCCAGCACCCCAACATTCAGGGCATTCCCATTAACAAATCTCAGTTCAAATCTTCCCTAAGTCTCCCCAGTTGTCCTTGTTTCAGTTCAACTTGGCGGCCCTTCCGTCCAGGTGCATTGGTCAGAGGGCCGGCTGGGGAAGATGGAGACTGTAGTCCCAAACTCCTGGAAGTTGCAAAGCTGCTTCTGGACCGGGCCAGAGTTTGTTTTTTTGGTGTTTTTTTTGCCACCCGGCAGGGCCGGTGAGAAGTAACTGGTGAATGGTGTGGTAAGGCTCATTTCTTTCCCAGTTGAGCTTTCGCCTGCTCCAGCTTGGCCACCACGGTGGCGTCGGTGCATTTTGAGAGGATAAGTGCCATTTCTGCTTCGTTCTTGCGCTCCACGGCGGCTTCGGCGGCTTGAGTGAAGTCCCTACGGCCACAGAAGGAAGAAAAATGACATTCAAAAGAGCCAAAGGCTCATTCGATCCCTTTCCGGAGATTTTCAGCGGCAAAGCTGAACGCTAAGTGAATAGTCCTCATGAGGGAGCCTTTCTAATAATCATAACTATATTATTTATATATTATAATATGATATATAATAATATGATATTAAATAATACTATTATTATTTCTAATGTTAGGGTTTGGGGATTAACCCCTAGCAGAGTATTGCAGCAGTAGTCAAGCCAGGCAGCCAAAGGAGAGTGGAAGATATTTTTATCGGCTGATAAAGATATTGCAAGGACTCTTAACTTGGACTATACTAGTGAGTCTTACTGGATGGAAATACTGTGAATGACTTAATGGACTGAATGACAATGCTTAAACTCTAATTGGATTAAAAACTATTTAAACTACAAACAGTGTTTGTGTTCAGTGTGTGTATACTCTGGGGCCCTGCCTGGTTTGACTACTGCTGCAATACTCTTCTAGGGGTTAATCCTCAAACCCTAACATCTAATAATAATAATTAGCCAGCTAATCCCTCACCCACCCCTGCAGAATTTCTTGAGGAGAATTAAAAGCTTCTCCACATCTAAAATGGCCCTCTGATAAATATGGTGTATATATTTGGATTCAGAGCCCTTTTTAAAAAAATAATGTGGGTTCAAATTCTGCATTTCCTCCGCTTTAAAATCACAAATTGGGGCTGGGTCCACTGAGGTCACCTAGTTCGGTGTTGCTCAAACGTGGCCCCTTTAAGACCTGTGGGACTTCAATTCCCAGAAGCTGGCTGGGGGGTGTGTGGAATTCTGGGAGTTGAAGTCCCACAGGTCTTAAAGGGGCCACGTTTGAAAAAAAAAACACACAAGAAAACAGTGATTTTATCCAATTTCTGCTGAAGGCAGGAATCCAGATACTAAAATTTAAACCCATTCTCCTGCCTTTTGCCTTGAGGGAGGACAGCTCTTGAGCCCTCTTTTTTGGGGTGTGTGTGTGACCCCCTTAGGGGTCTCTCATGTACCTTCTTGGCAGGATTTCACTCTGAAAAGGGATGAAAATGCACCCCAGTTCAAGTCAGAGGAGCAGAAAAGGAGGC